GTGAGAATCTTATTAATGAACAATCTGTAAGTATTTTCGTAAATGGTTTTTAAGTATGGAGACATGCCTTGGCCTTGACAAGTCTCAAGAACTCAATTCTCCTAAATTTTTTATTATAAAAAAAAATAAGAAGGAGGAAAAGATATGAAGAAGATGGGAAGAAGAGGTATTCCACCCCCATAAATTTTACCTTTAGTAACTAATTTTTCCAGTAAATCAATGCTTTGTATGACTATCAAAATTTTTCAAGAAATCTTGGAATCCAGATCCTCTCAGAAGCTTGCCTCTTAGCATCTCTCAGCAACTTTGTGATCTAGACCATTCAAGCTGTCTAATATCCCATATTTTATCACATCATCTTATGTAGCAAAAAATTTTGGCCATATTTGATATAATTAAATTTTGTCTTAATATTGCAATAAGTAAACAGGCTTGTAGGAACTTATAACTTAGTGTATTTAAATTTTGACTTGGCATATTTAACAAATATCTGTTTTAAAAAAAATCTGCAGAGTGATTTTACAAATTTTGAAAACCAAAAATGATAAAAAAATTTTGTTTCCCTATTTAAGCCATCCGATGTCCTTATGTGGCCTGTTTGATATAAATAAATTATTTATAATTAAATTTTATTAAATATTAAAATAAGTAAATATATTTCTAGGGACATAGAGCTTGTCTTATTTAAAATTTAACCTATTTAACAAAATTTATCCTAGAAAATTACTTTGTAGATTTTTTTTAAAATAGATTTTTGTTAAATAGAGCATGCCAAATTTTAAATACGCTAAGTTATAAGTTCCTACTTCCCACAAGCTTGTTTATTTATTGTAATATTTTGATAAAATTTAATTATATCAATTAAGGCCAAAATTTTTTGCTACGTGGGATGATGTGACAAAACCTGGAATAATAGATAGCTTGAATGATCTGGATCTGAGAGACATTGAGAGGTAAGCTTTTGAGAGGATCCAGATCTGAAACCTTGTCCTACCAAAAAGTTTACGGTCCATTTATATTTACAACATTTAACGTTTTAAAAGCGTATTTCCACATTTAGAAAGTCAAATATTGTTGGGATGATTTAAAGCTATCCAAAATGACTTTACAAAAGCACATTCAAAAACAACGAGAATGTGAATTTGCCAATGTAACTGGCTGAAGCTTTTCAAAAGTACATTCATAATTTCAACACTTGACGTTTTTCTTCTCACATTTCCTTCCGTCAAATTGCTCCGACACATGTTAGAAAAGTGAACCATTTGCATGTGATGTGATGATTTGTTTGGTTCAGTTATACGGCACTGCGAACAACAATTATTTTGAACTAGCTTGGTTTCTTTGCAGTTTCCTTTCACTGTGCTTTCACTCCAACAATTAGATGCTTGAAGACTTTTATGCTGACAGTTTCGTCCTTTCACTTTACTTTTACATCAAATTATTTTTATATTTTCCTTTTTTTTTCCTCCTGGTTCAGTTTTTTTTTTTGCATTTTCATCCTTTATTTCTTTTTACATTGATTTCTCCTACTTAAGTGATAAATTTTTATTAAAATTAATTAAATAAGTTATTAATTATTACTATGTTATATATGTATATTACTCATTTATAATTTATACCTAACATCTAAGGGAATATGTTAATTAATACTCTCTCCATCCAAATTTACAAAACATTCTTTTTGCAAAATTACACATATAAAAAAAGTTCATTAAATACAATTTATAATATTAATTTTTTAAGACATTTTAATTTAATATGAAGCATTTATATAAAAAAATAATAAATAATAAAAATTAATGTTTTTTAATAATTGTTCATTCAAAAGCATATTTTATTATATATAATTTAAACAACTTTCAGTTTATCAAATTAACTTTTAAAAATTATATCCAAATATAAATTTTATTGCAACAACTAACTTTTATTAAATTGACTTTTATCATATATTCTTTTAACAAACTAATTTTTGGCTAATGAAAAACCAAACACGCACTAGTCAAGCCATGTGTCTAGAATCGCTAGTACAGAAAATTCTAAAAAATAAACTCTTTTGTGAGATTTTGTTCATTTTAAAACAACTTGATATCTAAAATTTGTATTTTTTTATTAAAAATTACCAGTCAAAATTACCGACACTGTTTTGTTTACTTACATATGGAATAAAATTATATTGATTATAATATGGCTAGATAGTTGAAATAATACTTGCTCCATCCCAAACTGTGAGATAAAGTTGGGGATATATTATTATATGAAAATATAAGATAATTTACAAAAAGGTTTTATAAATAATATTTTTTTAATATTATCTTTTAAATATAAAGAGAATTAAAATAATATTATAACGTAATAATTAGGTGCATGGAGGCAGCGTGTGAAGTGAATTGCTTGGCCCCCATGGAATTCAAAGCTAGTTCTGCCCTGGCTATGATAAATTATGGATATATTATAAGTTATTATCATTAACCACTCGACCACCATTATTAGTTGCCTAAATCCAAAGTTGCTTTTATATATAGTGAAAGATGATAATATGGATATATAATTATCAAAATTTTCAGGCTTGCTAAAATAAAATAAAAATTCTTTCATCAATTGATATCAATCGAGCCATTTAAATTGTAAATGAAAACACAAATAATTTTGACCAAAAAAATAAAAAGAAAACACAATTAATAAATGTCTTATAATTATCGGATGCACACACATATTACACATACGGAAACTCAATACTTGTTGACTTAGAAATACACATGAAATTAGGTGGAATCTAATGTCACTAAAGATACATAAACTCAAATCACACTTGCTGATAACATAGAAAACACACATGAAATTAAATAAGTTACAATCAAACATCATATTTTAATTTATTCAAACTTAAAAATTAATGTGATCTAATAATGTTGGCTTTCTCATCTCCACGTTCGCATGCATTAAAGGTGGATGAAATGATATATTCAATCTTGAAAGAACTGAAACAGGCTTGCTGCAATTGAAGCAAGGGAAGCACCAATCTGTAAAGGAAAAAGACCAGAATTACGTGATGGTTTTGGTGGCGGCGGCAGATATTGAGGTGGATAATAAGGCGGCGGCGATGGAGCATATAGATAGGGTGAATAATATTGATGGGGTGGCGGCGATGGATATGCAGGTGGCAAATAATGAGGCAGTGAGAGTGAATACGGCAGCGGATAAGGAGGTGGCGGCGGCGGCAGATGATATGAAGGTGGTGAACGATGATAAGAAAGAGCAGGCAAGTTTGACAAAGTTCAATCTGCAGAAAAATTATGTGAAGAATAGGGATTTTGTGTAACATAACTTTGTGGTGTCGATTTTGCTGCTGAGGATGCATCATAGTTCTGCATGCAAAGTCACTTCAAATGCTCAAAGCTTACACAGTTACATGGTAACAATAATAATCTTACCAAAAATGAGAGATGTAATATTCATTATATTCATTTTTGTTAATTAATTTTACTTCTTTTATTTGGAATTTTGTAGCGCGTTTTTCATCTGCAAAATTACATTTTAATCCCGTCTTCCATTATCTTTATAATTTTTGTCACTTTACAAATGAAATTTTCAAATAATATTTCAATATATAACTTCTGTCATTTAAAACAATTAGTATCACGTTTAATTGCTTCATACAGGAATGTAAAAAATTATACATACTAAACATCTATGCGTTTTTTTTTATTCCTTTTCCTAAGCACCTAGTATTCTAAACCTACCCCACTTGAGCTGAACATTCAACAAGAACTAGGCTAAACCGGATTGAGACATGACAAGTACCATAAGATACTGGGTGACCATAGCCATTTATTACATACTATACATTTATTTTTTAAAGGATTAAAGGGCATTTTGCCCTTCAACTAGTAGCATAGAAGTGTCTGACATCTTAATTGTTTTTTTTTTTTGTGGTGTAATGTTCCCTTTAAACACTTAAAAATGATGCAATATTATTCCTATCATTAATAAAAGTTAATTTTAATTGTTAGTTAACATAAAAATTTACAAAAAAGACCTAAAAGTATCAAAAATGACAAAAAAATTATAAATAAGTACTATATAAGGAAATTAATCCTAATTAGCTCTCCTAAATTATAAATAAATACTAAGAGATAAATGTTACTTCTTACTAGCAAACTATCATTTTGACTAACCACTTTGATATGCTATTGATAATTATCATACTGTAATTGTTGGAAACAACATGATAATTAATTAAAATATACATTTATTTTAATACTATCTTATTAAAACATTAACACTTTCATATTTAATAATTTTTATTGATGTTATTACTAGCTATGATAATTTGATAATCATCCAGTAGTTGGTCAAAATGACTAATCAAAATGGTACTTTAGTCTTTTATATTGGTAAGAAATAACATTATATTACTCTCCTGGAATCTATTTATAATGTAAGAGACTATTAATGGATACAAATTTTGTTATGGGGTTCTTTAATGTAATTTTTTTGGGAATTTTTTGAGGTCAATTAATGGTTAAACTTGATATTTTAAACAATAAGGGAAAAATTGCATTATTTTCTAACATTAAAGAGGAACCTTGCGCTATAAAACAAAAAAAATTTAGAATGCTAGCTAGATCTCCTACTCGAATAGTTGATGAGTAAAAATATTCAATACACCTTTTTTAAAAAACCAATACTAGTTACTCATTTATTTTAAAAAATCAATACTAGTTGACTCATTTATTTTAAATGCCCAATGCACCTTCACGAGCGATGTACCTAATCATATGAGGATTATAATTAATATGCTTGTTTTAAAAGAATATATAACATCAACAAGTCATAAATATATAATTGTATGTATTCGATTCAATCAAATTTAACATCTGATTATTTTTGCAATAAACTAAAAGATTAATATAATTAAAGGCAAAGATTACTAAGATAGTTATTACAAATGTATTTCCCTCTACTCATCATTGCAAAAGTTCAATCTAACTAACCTTGGATGGGGCATTTGTACACTGCAATAGAAGTTTTAATTCACCAGCAATATTTCTGCGAAGGAAAATTTAAAAAAAATCAATTATATCTATTATATCTGTTTAATTAATTAATTACCTATTATTTCCCTTTTGAAAGGGACACGAGGATTGTTCAAAACGTTTTGAAACGACATTATGAAACTGAACCCTGAAAGTATAAAAAAATATACAATGACATTAAAATATGAACGAAAACGGGCATTAAAAAATTGGAATTTTTTTCTTTTTGATTTTTTCGTTAGAACATTAACTATTGATGAGCCTAATTAATAAACTTCATTCTCTCCGAGGAGAATGACCTCAATAAGCTCTCAAAGTTGAAAACTAATGTGAGTGTGTATAAATAAACCAAATTATTTGGTTATAAAATAGCCATCAAATATTCTCATTTTTATAATAACGAGAGTTTAGCAAACTAGAGATTATGATTAAGAAAACTAAGAATTACCTGCCACCACCCATAAAATCATCACAAATGAAATTAGTATTAATATTCTTCCAAACCACGAATTTAAGCTCGCTTTGGCCTTCAATCAGTGGAAATTCGAACTTGTTTGAACTAGCATAGTATTCATTTCGCCATCTTCTGCAGCAATCCAAGGTAAAACAAAAAATTAAGAGTTAACAAGTCACATTGTTTATAAGTCATGAATTCATAAAAATACTAGTATACAAAAGTCTTTTTACATCAAGCATCTATATTATTATAGTCAATAAAACTGAAAAGATTAAATGATAAATTGACTCCTAAATTATAAGTTTAGAAATGTCTGTAACCCTAAACTCTTTTTTGGTGTAAAATAAAATTATCAAACTAAGCAAGAATTCTAATTTGGATGATCGACGGCATCATTGATATATATATATATATATATATAGAGTAAGAGGCCAATGAGGAATTGAAATGTGAATTGATGAACTAAGAAACCTGTTCTATTTACAGCGAATTCAAGCTTCTATATATAACCACACTACTCATAGTTATCATTATATATGTATGATGCATGGGTTTAGTATTTTAGCACTGACCGAGAAAATTTCAAATTTTATATGAACACGTTGGGTCCAGATTCTAGAAAGCTATGTACCTTACTTAACTAGGAATTGACGTTAAATGTGAGTCCTAAAACATATGTGAATTTCAACTAATCGTTAACTTGATATATGTTAATAAAAAATTAATTTTAACCATATAAATTTTGTTAATAGTCATTTTGAATAGTTTTGAATTTTAATGAATACTAATAACTTTTGCAATGCAAAATAATTACAAGGATTTCAAATATGATTGATTTAACTAACTTCTAATTATTCTCTACCTTATAACGACAAGGTAGATTTGAATAATTTTTCAAATTCTTCTTAATAATAACTATTATAAAAATATTATTAGTAACTTCTTTTTTCATAATAATGGAAGCCTAAACACTATGATAATCACAAAACATCCTTGTCAAAAAGTCATGAGAGCTCAGTAGGCATACTAGATACCATATGTATATTAGGTCAAGTATAAGTAGGCAATATGTCAAATAGTTTGCAATTCCATTTCTATAAGGTAATGTTTGAATTGGTAGATTTAGATTTAAACTCTAGATTTTAAATCTCACATTTTAAATTCATATATTTAAAATCTTCTGTTTGGGTAGTTTAAAACATTTTAAATGAAGAGGAGAAGTGAATTAATATTCTAAACGAAAACAAAAAATTCAAAATGAAGAGCTTACATCCATTTTTTAATTAATAAGAGACAAGAACGAGATATAAAAAAAAAAGATATGAGAGTCGTGGAGACAGTATAAACAAAAAGATAATTAACATGATGTTTGAAAAGTAACTAAAATTTCAAATGATAAGGATGTGGATTTAAGAATTTAAAATTACAAAAGAATTATAATAAAAAATGAAAATCTAAATCCCCATCAATCCAAACACATAAAATGAACTTTTTTACAATGCATTATTTGTGAAATGTATATAAAAAAAATTAAATAAAACTAAGAATAATTTACCTTGACTTGTTATTTTAATGTAGGCTTCGCCAGCATATTGAAAACAGACATACAAGGGATGGCTCACGGAAACACAATACGATCCAGAAAATATGTTGCATCCTACGACTTCAGAGACAAAGAGCCACAGACAAAAGATGCATCAGTTTGATTATAGGGAGATAATTAAGGAAAATTGAAAGTGTCGAACTAATTAACTAAGAAACATGTAGAAAAATAGGGTTTTACAATATTATACCAGTAACCTCAAGCTGGTGGCCATGGATGATCGACGACATCGACATAGAGGGTAATGAGGAAATGGATATGAATTGAAGATGAACTAAGAAATATCTAGTTATAAGGGAAAATTCATGCTTCTAGCTGCAACCACGTTACTTGTAATTATTATCAGTCTATATACGATGCTTGGTGGCGATTGACTGAGTCAATTTCAATTATATGTGAACGCGTAGGGTCCAGCAAAAAGCTACGTACACTGCTTCATTAATATATAGGCATGCAAAAGTTGACTTGTTAGAAGACTTACTTTTAAGATTTTACTTAAGGGAAGATTGTACGTAAGGATCTAAAACAACCAATATTTTTGTTAGAGGTCCAAACATTATTGCATTAATAGTCCACAAGACTGACTAATTAAAAAGAAAGAAGTGAAGAAACGCAGAAGCATCATATGCTCCTTAATTAACAGGTAACAAAGAAATTCATGCCTAATTCCTGCAACCATGATTCAAATTCAACCCAAAGCAAACAAAAATATGAAAAAAAATCGATGGGGAGGGGAATCTTCCTCTGCATTACACTCTAGCCTCATTTTTCTTGCGATTGGTGGAATAATGAGAAAAGAAGGTTTTGAGTTTGAAGTTGTGGATTCCACATTGATTTTGATTTTGATTTGAGATTACGAAATGAATTTTCTGAGAAATGTGTATCTTAAAAAAAAGAAAATGAGATCTAGAGATTGGAGAAAGAAAACAAGAGATTTGACTAGAGCTTACGGACAATCTAGTATTTTTGAATTTACATTTTAATATTTTGTCCTTCTAAATAATTAGATATTTTAAGCTCTTCTCCAATAAATAGCATTGCCTCTCGGTCCTTTGTTATAATTTCCCCTATAATTAACCGGGATTTTACAATTAATAATAAACAAATTATATGCATCCTAATAAAAATATCCTTATTTATTTTTATAATAAATAAAAAATAGTGTGTGCGTGTCTACATGCATGAGGATTGAGGATGATGAAGATATATATATATATATATCAGCATGTAACAATCAAACATGAGGTAAGAGAAAGCAACGAGATGATGCATACAAGAAATAATAATGGGAAGAAAGCAAATGGGACGTTTTCCTAGGGGAAAAAAGGGAAAATGGGATGAATATTTTTCGTTTATTAGTTCAATCATATCCTTATGAATATATAATTTCAATTTCTAAAATTGTTATTTTGGATCCCACAAACTAAGCCAATGGTGGATCAAATATCGATGTATCGGATCATAATATCCAACTTTGTTAGAAATAATCTCCGAATGAATTTTGTTTTATAAATATAACTTTTCTCATTAATTAACAAAATATATGATCACTTTCACCTAATGGTGATTGGATTGAGTGAGAAAAGCTTGATATACCTTAACCACGATAGTTAGCTCGAACAATTCAAAAAAAGCTGGGAGATAGCTGTCCTCATTAAGACCAATAATACTTGAATCTGAATCAATAGTATCATATAATAAATAATTGAGGGGAAAAGGGCTTTTAGCTTCATCAATTACTAACAAAATAATATAAGTGAGAAAAACATTAGCTTTGAATAGTAATCCTCCAATAAATGAAAGGTATTTTCTCCAATATATACTTCTCTGATCCTATTTATAGGGTAGAGAAAAGATTAATTTTAATTCTAGCTATTTTTATCATTTTGCCCTTATTAAATACAAAAAAATTATTAACAATAATTCTTTTTATCTTTACTAGGAGGTAGAGGTAAAATCTTATTAAATTTTAAGATAGAATCAATGAAGTTTAAAGTTTTTCTTAATTCCTGTAAAAAAATGTCAGAAGTAACTTATAAATAAATTCAGAAGGAGTATTATATATCCTTCCCTCCTTAATTATTATATTTTTTTCTCTTTCTCTCTCAATTTAATGTTTTAGAAATAAGGTTATATTATTAAATTAATGTATTTTTCAAAATTTATGTTTATATTTTTTTAAAAAAATAAGAGGGTTAAAGTATACTTTTGATTCTTTAACTTTATATAAGATTTTAATTTAATCTCTTAATTTTATAAAGTATCTTTTTAGTCTTTTAACCTTAACACTGTTTTCAAATGATTTTTTTTTTCAATCATTATTATTTTAATAAAAATTAAACTTAATATGTCAACATTTGAGAATATTTTATCAATATTTAAAGGTTTAATACAAAAAAAAATTATGATAAAAATAACAGTGTTAGAGTTAAAAAACTAACAAATCGCTTTATAAAATTAAAGAATCAAAATGAAACCTTACATAAAATTAAAAGACTAAAACTATACTTTAATCAAAATAAAAGTTTAAGTGTATTTAATAAGTTTTTTTAATAAGTATAATTTTATTTAAAAATATCTTCTAAACCGAGATGGTGATGACATTTTATTGTCATTGTGAGAAATTTAAATGACGTGTACTAGGTGCATTAGCAATATTGAAGCATGCGACCTAGTTTGAGGAGACTTGGTAGAGAGACTAGACATGAAATACTAATATTAATTACATTGATGGCAGAGAAGACCGAGTCTGGATGGAATGACCCTCTGGATCTTATTATGATTTTTTTTAACAAAAAGGTAAATTATATTAAAAGCAAAAATATGAACAAGGAAACGATTACATCACAGAATGTAAATTATTAAACCAATAATGTGAGAAACTAAAAACAAAACAGAGATGTTTTTGTAATCTAGATATAACCTAATATACTAAGAGTATTTGGGGTATTTTTGTAATGGTTGCAGTTGTAATTGAACGAGAATGAGAAATTTAGTGAAGTAAGGTATCCCAGTAAGTAAATCCTGATTTCCATCATTTGATGATTGTTGATTGGATATCTTAACCATAATTACTGTGTATTGTTCCATGTTAATTGCTGTTGATTTATTTAGTTTAATTATTTCCTTGAAATTAATTTAAACATCCTTAAAAATTACTTTTTCTCTAGATTCGACTCCTAGTGATATTCCAAGATTTTTACTCCGCTAATCTCGTGCACTTCGAGGCGGGTCATTCACCTCGGTTAATACTAAAAAAAATGATGTGAAATAGTGACTCTGATTTAATTTACCTTGATATAACTAACAAATCACCTTGATTACTAATTTAATTTAATATAAAAAACTGAACTCTTTATTTTTATTTAATTTGGGTGAAAGTCATGATCTGGAATGCAAGAGGAGCAAATGGGAAGGGTTTTGCTCATTCTTTTAAAGAACTTCGATAACAATTTCGTTCTGATATGTTAGTTCTTAGTTGAACCAAGGTCTAGTGGTTACAAAGCTAAGAATACTATTATGAATAAACGTCAACAATTTCTTCATATGATGATGGACGGTCATTGGAATCAGTAGTGAAGCCACATTAGCTTGAGGAGTTGCAAATGCACCCCTTCACCTTGAAAAGAATTACATGTAGGTACATAAATTTTGTAACTTTGCACCCCTCCTCTTGATATTTTTCACTTTCTGAACCAAATAAAAAATAGTTTAGCTTAAAAAATTATCAAATATGTAATATTATAATGATCTAGATAAGATATGAAAAGGATATTTATAATAAAAGATCATATCAACTTGTTCAATATAATTTTTTAAATGAAAATTCATAATCAATCTATTTATATTATTACAATTTTAGTCCTAGCTTAATTATTATTTTTAATAAAATATTTCTTTTTTATTAACTTATTTTGCACCCCTGACTGGCTTCAGGTCTTGGCTCCACTTCTTAGCGAAACTTTATTTCATAGATGCTCGTCCTAGGGATAAAAAAGAAGGGACACTTGGGCGAGTATAAACAATAGTTTGCAGAGCGATCATCGTCCTTGCGTTCCAAGGGGTGATTTTACAGAGATTGCTAGCATGTTGAAGCAAAAAGGTGGGGGAAGAAGTTATAATGATAGTTTGATTGATATTCATAGGGCTCTATTTTTATTACTTGGAGAGGTCCTAAGATATTGTTTGGTTAGGGAGAAGAGTAGGGAAGGGGAGAGATTTTGTTTCCCTTCCCTTATTTGGTTTGAAAAAGTGGAGGAGAGGGGACCTCCCCTCCCCTCCAAATTGGGGGGATTGGAAGGGGAGAGGAGGGGTATAATTTTGTTGAGCAATGACTAATATGTCCCTTTTTTTTAATTGCTATTTTTCATCTTTTTAAACAAGTTTAGGAATGACAGATTTTTAATAATATATTTAACAATGATAACATGTTAAAACATTCATAATTATATTTTATTAGAAAAAATAATTTTAATAATATAAGGGTAAAATTATTTATATATAATTATTTTGCCTCCCCTCCCCTCCTGAACCAAACAATGTAATATTAAAATTTTCTCCACTCCCCTTGAACTAACTAGACCCTAAGTATGGAATGGTCTTGATCATTTGTATAAAAAGCTTGACAAACTTCTTTGTACAGATGCTTGACAAAGATGTTTTTCAGAAGCTTTTGTGAGAGTTTGTAAATTTTTAAAAATCTAGTTAAGTTGCTAATATTTAAAAAATAATTTATAAATTTTAGATTAATATTTATAAATAATAATATTCAAATTATTAAATATGAAAATATTTAATATTTTAGCAAGATTTTATTAAAATAAATATTTATTAAATTTTATATATTTGAACAAGACTTTAGGGTGCCCTTTTTGAAAAAAAATTCATAAGCAAATATGCACTTTAACTCTACAATAATTAACCAGGTTAAATGGGCAACAGGGCCCACATGTAATACACCTAGATAGATCAAAATGAAATTGATAGTTCTTTAACAAAAGAACAAATTTGCTCCTCAAAAAAATGGTTTAAGGGGAACATTACTTTACTTATCAATACAAGGTGCCCACCACTCCTTAAAAAAGAAATTCAAGAGGAAAAATGGTTTTTAACCCATGATTGAATGCATGAGAAGTAGATTTGGGTGGGGTTTACTATGGTTATTAAATCTATAAAAGAGAAATCTTTGCATGATTGTGTTCTTGTACTCCTGTTGGATATATAGTGTAACATCCTAGAAAA